GCCACTGGCGCCCAGTGCTTTTCACAGATAAGAGCAGGTTCACCTTGACCACATGTGACAGACGTGAAAGGGTCTGAAGAAGCTGTGGAGAATGTTATGCTGCCTGTAACATCGTTCAGTGTGACTGTTTTGGTGGTGGGTCAGTGATGGTCTGGGGAGGCTTATCCATGGAGGGACACACAGACCTCTACAGGCTAGACAATGGCACCCTGACTGCCATTAAGTATCGGGATGAAATCCTTGGACCAATTGTCAGACCGTACCCTGGTGCAGTGGGTCCTGGGTTCCTCCTGGTGCATGACAATGCCCAACCTCATGTGGTGAGAATATGCAGGCAGTTCCTGGAGGATGAAGGAATTGATACCATTGAATGCCCCCACGCTCGCCTGACCTAAATCTAATAGAACACCTCTGGGATATCATGTTTCGGTCCATCTGACGCTGCCAGGTTGCACCTCAGACTGTCCAGGAGCTCAGTAATGCCCTGGTCCAGATCTTGGAGGAAATACCCCAGGACACCATCTGTCGTCTTATTAGGAGCATGCCCTGACGTTGTCAGGAATGCAAACAAGCACGTGGGGACCATACAAACTACGGAGTACCATTTTGAGTTGCTGCAAATAAATTTCAGCAAAATGGACTAGCCTGCTACATCATATTTTCCCTTTGATTTTCAGGGTGTCTTTGAATTTAGTCCACTGTAGGTTGATAATTTTCATTTCCATCAAACGATGGGGCATCCTTATGTTCCTAACACATTACCCAGTCCATATCAGTATAGATATCCAGCATGATATTTTTCCCCATTGAGATCTGATGTGTTTTCAAAGTGTTACTTTAATTTTTTTGAGCAGTGTATGTATGTATCTATATATATATATATGTGTGTGTGTGTTACTGTACCTGCCTCAGTAAATGTACTGTGCCAGGGCAGCAAGTGGTTAAACCCAAAAGCAAACATATTTTATTGCAGATTAACAATTCTTAGATGTGATTGCTATATTTGTTTAATTTTTTTAGGCTTTTTTTTTTATTTTTATCAGGGGATCCAGCTAACAAGTCTGTTGTTCTTTAAAAGCCTGCTTTTTCAACTATCCAGCAGAATGTGTCAGTTTAGGTGGATGAGATAGACCATGTAATACTGGCAGGGGTGATTAAAATGATCAGCTTTTATTTATTCATGCAAAACCCTTATCCCAAAAGGAAAAAAAAAAAAGGTTTGCTGTAACTAATTATAAAGTGTGAGCTGGACTTTGGCTTCAATTTGTAATCTGCTAAAACATTTACCACTACTCCCCCCTTCCCCTCAGACTGACAATGGTGCTGTCTGCTGTGCCTCCTGTACGTATGCCTCCAGGGTTGTGCCTCATTAATATAGAAGGCATGTTACTGGCCAGATCACCAGGTGAAAACTGAGGGGAAAAAAGCCAAAGAAAATAAAAAACTGATGCCACCGATATTGTGTCCATCCAAAGTTTGGTAAGGTGCAATATAATATGGTTTTGAATTTGGTTTTATTACGGCTTTAATTCCAGGAGACTGCAGAAGTTAGGTGTGTGCTCTCTCTCTGCTACACCTAGCTCAGCAACAATGAGGTCCGCCCATGCTCACTATGGCTATGATGAATAAGGTGAATTTACCCTATTCTTCTCAACTCCCTCAGCATCTGGAACTCTCCTCCACTGTTCAACTCTTGCAGGATGTGGACAGGCCCTTGACATCCTTGCATATATTGCACTGTACTTGGTAATGTTGGAGAGCTGCATGAAGTTGGACAGCGAAGAGGAGCAGCTTTGGAAGACAGGTCTTACAAAGAAGGAAGCCTGCAGGTACAAGGAATAAGGGGAAGTATTCCATCAGTCTAATTTCCCGAGCATTGCAGTGCAGAGGAAGACATACTGCAAAGGTAACTTTTTCTTCAGCTTTAAGTCACAAGATAACTTACTATCTAATGCCATCAGTTCCTCCTCAAAGATTAGGCCTTATGCACATGGCCATACTGTTTTGCGCAGGATGTTTGCTGGCATCAGATCCTGTGTAGATCCATGTTGCATCTTAGTTCACCCCGTCATCCCCCCTTAATGTCTATATGAGTTTGAGATGTGCACATTTTGCACATATGCCACCACCATGTGAATGACTTATTCAGATCTGAAGTATACAATAGCATGTAGTCAGCGAGCACCACCGATCACACATTGTTTACATGTTGGCCTTAAATGAGTCATTCAAGTGGTACATGTGCAGTAATTCTGAATAACTAAAGTTATTCTGCTCCTGTGCCGCAGCATGAATGACGTATTCAAGACCAACACAGTGCAATCAGTGGTTGTGGCACCCACTGCTTACATAGTTACATATTTAGTCTGGCTGACAAGACAAAAGTCCATCCAGTTCAACCATAAAAAAAAGTTATAATCCTACACCCACAGTTGATCCAGAAGAAGGCAAAAAAAACCCAGCAAAGCATGATCCAATTTGCACCTGCAGGGGAGAAGATTCCTTCCTGATCCCCCGAGAGGCAATCAGATATTCCCTGGATCAAATTTACCTATAAAGGTTAGTATCCAGTTACTGTTTATCAAGTGTATCTATGAAAGAATCCAGGCCTTTTTTTAAAGCAATTTACTAAGCTGGCCAGAACCAACTCTTGAGGGAGTCTATTCTACATTTTCACAGCTCTTACTGTGAAGAAACCTTACACACTATTGTTTAAGTGTTGGCATTGTGCAGCAGCACCCAGGGTCCATAACTCTGTACACATATAATCATTAGTACAAATGTTTACAGTGTAAAATATGGTTCAAAAGCAGGACAAAGAACACAGATCTCTTTAGCTTTGGTTTATGCAGCTAATTGCTGTCAACCAAAAGAGAGCAGTGTGCATGGGCCCATAACATACAATACTGTATTTAGATCAATATGAACCACATATCTGAACACAACAGATTGGTACTCCCATATGCATGAGTTCTTAGACGCTTTTATGCATATAAAATCATATATGGGCAGCACAGTGGCTAAATGGTTAGTGTTTCCGCCTGGCAGTACTAGAGTCGTTGGTTAGAATCCCCAACCACGGCACCACCTGCCTGGAGTTTGCATGTTCTCCCTGTGCCTGCGTGGGTTTTCTCCGGGTACTCCGGTTTCCTCCCACACTCCAAAGACATGCTGGTAGGTTAATTGGCTCCTGTCTAAATTGGCCCTAGTATGTGTATGTATGAATGTAAGTTAGGGACCTTAGATTGTACACCCCTTGAGGGTTAAGGACTGATGGGAATGTACAATATATATGTAAAACACTGTAAATTGACGGTGCTATATAAATAGCTGAAATAAATTTAAAAAAATATATATAATCATGACACCTTGTGGGCGGATCCAGATCAGGAGGACCAACTTTCTTTTTTTTTCACCCCTTTCCTTTCACTTTTTGTTAACATTTGAAGATTATAGATGGATGTCACGGGGGAGACCTCAGAATCTCCCCATCTTAATATGCTTCAGGAAGCAAGGCTTCGTGCCTTGCAGTACTGGGAATATTTCTTGACATTCTTGCTCCCTCACCTCTCCGTGAAACTGAGTTGATGTTTAGTCTACATCTTACTGTAATGTCCATTCACAACTGTAATTTTAACAGTTTTTTTTTGCGATTTGGTGATTACAGTTATTGAATCCCACACCCTCGCACATACCCGCACACGGTCGCACTATTTGGTAGGGCCAGCCTGTTAGATTTGGTTCTCTTGGATTATATGTATGTCGATAGCCGCACACTGGCCCTGGATCATCTGGAGAGTGGCATCCACCTCCCCCCCCCCCCCTTTTTTTTTTTCTTGTCATTTGCTTGATATTGATTGTATCATTGCATTATGTTAAATCTTTGAAAAACAAATCTATTGAAACAGAAAATCATATGATCATTCTGTTTTCTCAGGAGAAAAGGAATTGCAGCATACTACTGACTCTGGAGATGGTGTCAGGGCTCCGGGTGGTGACCAGAGGTATGTGACTGATGCAGGGAAACGCAGACTTCAGATATGTTATAAACAATGTAATTTATTAACACTAACAATACAAACATAAACGCAGTGCAATACTAAAACATAACACAGTGCAAACAAACCAAACCAACCACCCACAGATAACAGTACATACAATGCAAGCGTCGTCAGGCAGGCCGGGTCAATATCAATCGGGCAGGTAGGTACAGGGGGAGCAAGCGGAGAATGGTCGGGGGTCACAAGCCAGGTTCAGCACAGGTAGCGGGCAGCATGTACAGTGGGTCAGGCAGAGGAGAATGGTCAGACAAGCCAGGGATCAGGAGCAGGAGAATGGTCAGACAAGCCAGGGATCAGAGCAGGGTCAGCAGAGAGAATCAGACAGGAACAGGAAACAGGGCCCAGGAGAAACACACACCAAGGCCCAGTCTGCAGGTCTGAATGTCCCTTAAATACACCAGTATAATTAAGTTCCAGGTGTTTGACTGGCTGCAAGGTTGAGTCTCTGATTGCTGGGTGCACCCGCTGGCCCAGCCCTGGTACTGCAGCTCATAAGGCAGGTGAGTCCCACTATTGCTGGCCAGTCCATTCCTGACAGTACCCCCCCCCCCTCAAGGAGCGGCCTCAGGACGCTCCAAACAGTCCTAGCTGGGCAAAATGTTCCACCCGCGGGTCTGGCAACTGGCGGGATATCAAAGACTGGCACACACCGGCAGGACTCCGGGCAGCAGCACACCGGGCAGAACTCCGGGCAGAGGCACTCCGGGCAGAGGCACATCGGGCTGGACTCCGGGCAGAGGCACATCGGGCTGGACTCCGGGCAGAGGCACATCGGGCTGGACCTCCGGGCAGAGGCACATCGGGCTGGACTTCCTCCGGGCAGAGGCACATCGGGCTGGACTCCGGGCAGAGGCACATCGGGCTGGACTCCGGGCAGAGGCACATCGGGCTGGACTCCGGGCAGAGGCACATCGGGCTGGACTCCGGGCAGAGGCACATCGGGCTGGACTCCGGGCAGAGGCACATCGGGCTGGACTCCGGGCAGAGGCACATCGGGCTGGACTCCGGGCAGAGGCACATCGGATTACCAGGCGAAGCAGCAGGCAACCACCGGGTCACCGGGCGGAGCAGCAGGCAGCGGCCACCAGACGGAGCAGCAGGCAGCGGGCCACCGGGTGGAGCGGCAGGCAGCGGGGCCACCGGGCGGAGCGGCGGGGCGCCGGACCCCCAGGCGGAGCGGCAGGGCGCCGGACCCCCAGGCGGAGCGGCGGGCACCGCAGTCACCAGGCACGACAGTGGGCACCGAGTCGGTCTGGCAAGACTGCGGGCACCGAGTCGTCCTGGCAAGGCTGCGGGCACCGAGTCGTCTGGCAAGACTGCGGGACCACCGAGTCGTCTGGCAAGAAAACTGCGGGCACCGAGTCGTCTGGCAAGACTGCGGGCACCGAGTCGTCTGGCAAGACTGCGGGCAAGAGTCTTGGCGGAACAGCGGGCACCGAGTCGTCTGGCGGAAGACTGCGGGCACCGAGTCGTCTGGCAAGACAGCGGGCACCGAGTCGTCTGGCAAGACTGCGGGCACCGAGTCGTCTGGCAAGACTGCGAGGCACCGAGTCGTCTGGCAAGACTGCGGGCACCGAGTCGTCTGGCAAGACTGCGGGCACCGAGTCGTCTGGCAAGACTGCGGGCACCGAGTCGTCTGGCAAGACTGCGGGCACCGAGTCGTCTGGCAAGACTGCGGGCACCGAGTCGTCTGGCAAGACTGCGGGCACCGAGTCGTCTGGCAAGACTGCGGGCACCGAGTCGTCTGGCAAGACTGCGGGCACCGAGTCGTCTGGCAAGACCTGCGGGCACCGAGTCGTCTGCCAAGACTGAGCGGGCACCGAGTCGTCTGCCAAGACTGCGGGCACCGAGTCGTCTGCCAAGACTGCGGGCACAGAGTCGTCTGCCAAGACTGCGGGCACCGAGTAGTCGTCTGCCAAGACTGCGGGCACCGAGTCGTCTGCCAAGACTGCGGGCAACCGAGTCGTCTGCCAAGACTGCGGCACCGAGTCGTCTGCCAGACTGCGGGCACCGAGTCGTCTGCCAAGACTGCGGGCACCCGAGTCGTCTGCAAGACTGCGGGCACCGAGTCGTCTGCCAAGACTGCGGGCACCGAGTCGTCTGGCGGAACAGCGGGGCATCGAGTCGTCTGGCGCGAACAGCGGACATCGAGTCGTCTGGCGGAACAGCGGACATCGAGTCGTCTGGCGGAACAGCGGACATCGAGTCGTCTGGTTGGGGAACAGCGGACATCGAAGTCGTCTGGCGGAACAGCGGACATCGAGTCGTCTGGACGGAACAGCGGACATCGAGTCGTCTGGCGGAACAGCGGGACCGAGTCGTCTGGCGGAACAGCGGACATCCCGAGTCGTCTGGCAGGAACAGCGGACATCGAGTCGTCTGGCGGCCGGACCTAAGACTGCGGGCACCGAATCGTCTGGCGGAACAGCGGGCACCGAGTCGTCTGGCAAGGACTTGCGGGCACCGAGTCGTCTGGCAAGACAGCGGGCACCGAATCACCAGGCACGACAGCGGTCACCGGGTCATCAGGTAAGGATTGTCTGGCTGCGACAGCGGGCATCGGCATGTCACCAGGTATGACAGCGGGCACCGGGTCACCAGGCAATCAGGAATCATTTGGCTTGCCAGCGGGCACCGCGTCATCTGGCAAGGCAGTGTGGGCACCAGGTCACCAGGCATTGGGATCGTCTGGCTCGACAGCAGGCATCGGGTCACCTGTATATGACAGCGGGCACTGGGTCACCAGGCATCAGGTCATTTACCTCGCAGCGGGGCACCGCGTCATCTGGCAAGGCAGTGGGCACCCGAGTCACCAGGTACGACAGCGGGCTCTGAGTCAATTGACACGACAGCGGGCACCGCATCAGGTACCGGATCATCTGGATCAACAGCGGGCATCGAGTCAACTGGCCTAATAGGATCGTCAGGCTGGATCAGTTCATCATGCTGGGTAGAGGCATCAGGCCTGAATGCAGGCATCCGGCTGAGTAGAGGCTTGAGGCTGAGTAGAGGCTTGAGGCTGAGTAGAGGCTTGAGGCTGAGTAGAGGCTTGAGGCTGAGTAGAGGCTTGAGGCTGAGTAGAGGCATCCGCCTGAGTAGAGGCCCCCCCCCCATCCGCCTGAGTAGAGGCATCCGCCTGAGTAGAGGCATCCGCCTGAGTAGAGGCTTCAGGCTGAGTAGAGGCTTCAGGCTGAGTAGAGGCTTCAGGCTGAGTAGAGGCTTCAGGCTGAGTAGAGGCCTTCAGGCTGAGTAGAGGCTTCAGGCTGAGTACAGGCATCAGGCTGAGTAGAGGCATCAGGCTGAGTAGAGGCATCAGGCTGAGTAGAGGCATCATGCTGAGTAGAGGCATCAGGCTGCGTACAGGCATCAGGCTGAGTAGAGGCTTCAGGCTGAACCACGGAAGGCAGGCTCACCGGTTTGGATACTGGCAGGATGGTATTGGTTGGAAAGAATTTTTCGCTTTTTTCTGGTTTTAACTACTGGAGCACTGCAAGTAAACGCAGGTCTGCAAACGAAATGGAGTAGCTGGAGACAGAGAAGAGCTGGAGGATGGAACAGGAGAGGGAGCAGTTGCTACAGAGGGCTTTTTTACAGGGTTAAAGGCAGGATAGGGTGCAGGCGAGTGGGAACAGGGTACTGACATGCGGTAGATAGCAGGGCAGGAGGAGCTGTTGGGAATGCAGGAATAGAGCTTTGAGGAAATAGATTAGAAGCAGGACTGGGTTTTTGTAAGCTGAGGCTGGGTGCAACAAATCTGTCCATGTCTGCAGTATGGGTTGAACAAAGCTGAGCTTACACAAAGCCTGTCTGACCAAAGACTGCACTGCGTTTATACAATCTCTTAGTGTCTGTGGTGAACATGCAGCATAATGCTCCAAGAAGCAATCCACATCATCCTCTAATAACCATACCAGGGACTCTACCTGGTCGGCACTAAATGGTGGCAAAAATTCATCCCTGCATTCAGGGTACCAGATGAAACCAACTCCGCACAAATCTGAATCAATGGCTGACACCTCAGAGAATTCTGTGCCCTGATCTACTAGAACATGAGCGAGCCGTATACATTCTAGCAGTTTCATCCCGGGTATACTCCTTCAGAGTTTGATAAGCATACTCTCTGTCATCAAACACTAGCAGATATAAAATACACAACCTCATCAAGATCCATCCTTCCCATCAACAAACCAAGATGGCTCCCTGTGCAGCCACTTCTGGTCAGGATTGGCCTTGGTGTAATGTCAGGGCTCCCGGGTATGACCAGAGGTGTGTGACTGACGCAGGGAAATGCAGACTTCAGATATGTTATAAACAATGTAATTTATTAACACTAACAATACAAACATAAATGCAGTGCAATACTAAAACATAACCACAGTGCAACAAACCAAACCAACCACCACAGATAACAGTACATACAATGCAAGCGTCGTCAGGCAGGCCGGGTCAATATCAATCGGGCAGGTAGGTACAGGGGAGCAAGCGGAGAATGGTCGGGGTCACAAGCCAGGTTCAGCAGGTAGCGGGCAGCGTTGGTACAGTGGGTCAGGCAGAGGTGAGAATGGTCAGACAAGCCAGGGATCAGGAGCAGGAGAATGGTCAGACAAGCCAAGGATCAGAGCATGGGTCAGCAGAGAATCAGACAGGAACAGGAACAGGAAACAGGGCCCAGGAGAAACACACACCAAGGCCCAGTCTGCAGGTCCTGAATGTCCTTAAATACACCAGTATAATTAGTTCCAGGTGTTTGACTGGCTGCAAGGTTGAGTCTCTGATTGCTGGGAGCACCCGCTTGCCAGCCCTGGTACTGCAGCTCATAAGGCAGGTGAGTCCCACTATTGCTGGCCAGTCCATTCCTGACAAGATGCTAATGTATTTTAAGCTCACAGCTATTTACCTTCATTTTATTTTTACCAATGATACAATCTATCATGAGAGAAGCATGAAGGCTGAAAATACCATTTGCCCATATGTCATGCATGCCCTCTTAGAGCAATACATTGATTCACCTTTTAATGAACATAAACCTGAAATTCAGGCTCTTAACCCATCATTCCAGGAAATGTGTATATCAGGCCCTTCCCAAAATGTTTTCATTGAAAATATACCTTGAGGTGACTACTGCTGACCGTGCTGGACTGGCTGTTTTACACTTGCATTTCATCTTCAGAACTACACTTGTGATTTTTAGTAGCTCAGTGTCATCAAACCTGCTACTGATTAATCACCAATTATGAACACATAAGACAAAGGGTTTCTTAATGGACTCTTCCTCAGCCAGGTTTCCTTCAGAGGTTGCTAGGGGTTACTTGGCCAATGAGCAGTTTTCGCCGCCCAGATAAGCAATTACTGACATCAGTTTTATTTTAGTTTTTTTTAGATCTTTAAGGTGGACATTCTTCCTACTGTCCACCAATATAAGGACATTCTCCCTGCTTTTTATCACTGGAATGGTGTCCATCTCCCAATGACCACCAGTGTAATCACCCAATGATCAACAATCTACAGGGGTCCAACTCCACTATGTACCAATGCAAACAGCCATTTCACTGATCACTATTTTAAGGAGGCTCTTCTAACCAACCATGAAAATGAACATTTTACTGACCATCAGTGTAAGAAGTGATTTACTGACCCATCAATAAGAGAAAATGCAACAATTTTCAATGTCCACGTTATTGTCATTTATTTCAGTAGTATGACTGAACATAATTGCCATACAGAGCAGGTTTCAAAATATGCAAAAGTTCCACATTTCTTATTCTTTTATGTATTCCTAAAGTTTAAGTTGCTCTTCATGCTGATGTAGTGTAGCTGTAGATATAATAATAAAAAAATTGTATTGGGTTCCCTTAGACTTGAAAGTTAGCTAAAGGGTTCCTGAATGTTAAAGGATAAGTTCACCTTCCTGAAAGTTACACCAGCATTTAGGGCGTTACGTGTTCAGCCAGTACACCCCCCCAACACACACCCAATCTCCCCCTCCCTCATGACAACAGGTGGGGGATCCTCTCCCTACACCTGCTGTTAGATATAAAAAAACAGAATGACTGTGTGGGGCTCCTCCTGCACAACTGTGACATTTATTCACAGGAATCTATGAATAAATACACTACAGTGTGAGTACTCTCATAGTCCATCATACGGTAGGTGTCCGTGGCCTATTGCATTAGGGTGTGCATCCCAAAGCTCAAACACACGTGTGTGTGTGTATGTATGTATATATATATATGATATAATATACACACACACACATACATACACACACTCACACACACTCTTTTACAAATGTGCCCAAACCTTTTTAGTATGTAATAAACTGTGGATGGTGTCATTTTTTTTTTAGTTCTATTTTATGTTTTTTTTTTTTATTTAAAACTGTTTTTTTTACAATATTATTTTTTATTTATTTAGCCCAGTTGGGCAGCTTTGATGAAATATCAGGGGTTTAGACCCCTGATGTCTCACTTTTAAAGGATAAGTTCACCTTTGGA